GGTGTCCCTGTGATGGACTGAGACCTGTCCAGCGTGTCCCTGTGATGGCCTGAGACCTGTCCAGGTGTCCCCCATCTCTCACACAGTGATGGCTGGACATGGGCACCAGTGACCCCCGTGACCCAACAAGGAAGAAGCGAGTAAAGATGGTGGATGGAAGTATTTAATTAAATGCACATGATCTAAACTGGACAGGTCGTGAGGACCACTGAGATGAATCATTATGGTAGACACATACATGATACAGCCACATCATGCAGCAGCACTAAACCCATTCCGTGTCACAGACGTGTCTCCGTCAACGTCGTTGTCAACAGTTCAGTATTCTGACAAAGTTTAACATTTAATTTAGTCTCAAAACTAAACTTTTCCATCAAATGGATCTTGAAGCTTGGAAACAGAAGAAGAACCTTCCTCCTGCTTATTTCTGAGTGACTCCAGTACATTTTGGTCACATGACCTTCCTGTTGTTTGTAGTTTAGTTTGAGACAGAGCCGGACCAGGCTCTACGACTCAGATATGGTTCTGGACTTGAAAGAAGGTCCAGGAGAGTCCAAGGTCGATCTCATCCAGTGAAGGACAAACTGTTGGTTCTCAACGGGTTCTGCTCACCTGGTCCGAAGGCTTTAGCCCTATTGGGGTGCAGGGTTCTGGCCCGGAGGGGGGCTCCAGGTTTCAGCTTGGCTTTGGGGAACTGAGACAGGTACGTCATGACAGAGTGCTCGTCCACGTTCGGGTCCACAATCTCCTCCGGAGCGATCACCTGAAAGAGACGGGAGCAATCAAAGTAATCCAGACATCGAGGCCTGACCTTCAATCTGCAGGTGACCGGGGGGGTCTGGTCCAACAACTGTCAGAGCTAAACATTCATCAGGAACCAATCAGCATAATGAGAAACATCTGCTCAACCAGCTGAGCATGCTCAGTAACAACACATCTGCATTTCAAAATAAAAGCACCTGGACCTAAAACCAGGAGGTTTTCCAGTTTTATTTTCACATTAAACTGGAATTATTGTCTGGGCTCATTCCAACCATCAGGTCACATGTTCTGCTGACAGCAGCTGGCATTCTGGCAGGGGGCGGTACCTGCGGGACTCCCAGCCAATCATCTGCCTGCTGCATGGCCTCACGAGCGTTCTCCACTGGCTGACTGGGATCCCAGGTTTCCCAGTCCGGACACAGACCTGAAGGCAACACACACACACACACACACAGACATAAATCAGTGGGCACAGAAGGATTTAGATTTTTATGAAACAACATTTAAATGTTGTTGAACTGTGGGCGGGGTTAAATTTACAACAGTTTACAATGTGGGCGGGGCTAACTAACAATTTCAAAAATGTGTGCAGAGCTAACAGGCAGCACAGTGGCACAGCTGGTAGAGCTGCCGCCACTCAGCAAGCAGGTCGCCAGTTCAAATCCCGTCCTGAAAAGTTTCTGTGTGGAGTTTGCATGTTCTCTCTGTGCTGCGTGGGTTTTCTCCAGTTTCCTCCCACAGACCAAGAACATGCATGTTAGACTGACTGGTGACTCAAAACTGTCCCTAGGTGAGAGAGTGAATGGTTGTTTGTCTCGTTTGTCTCTATGTGTCCCTGTGATGGACTGGAGACTTGTCCAGGGTGTCCCCTGCCCCTCACACAGGGACTGCTGGATATGGGCACCAGTGACCGAAAAATAAAGAAGTGGATAAAGATGATGGATGGGCGGGGCTAACTTTACAGCTGTTTTTAAAAGATGGGTGGGGCTAACTTTACAGCTGTTTTTAAAAGATGGGCGGGGCTAACTTTACAGCTGTTTTTAAAAGATGGGCGGGACTAACTTTACAGCTGTTTTTAAAAGATGGGTGGAGCTAACTTTACAACTGTTTTTAAAAAATGGGAGGAGTTAACTTTATAGCTGTTTTTAAAAGATGGGCGGGGCAGCTTTAGGTCATGTTTGAATGTTTTAGATCCATCCATCCATTATCTTTACACACTTCTTCCTGTTCGGGTCACTGGTGTCCATATCCAGCAGTCACTGTGTGAGAGGCGGGGGACACCCTGGACAGGTCTCCAGTCCATCACAGGGACACCTGGATACGTCTCCAGTCCATCACAGGGACACCTGGACAGGTTTCGAGTCCATCACTGGGACACCTGGATACGTCTCCAGTCCATCACAGGGACACCTGGACAGGTTTCCAGTCCATCACTGGGACACCTGGACAGGTTTCCAGTCCATCACAGGGACACCTGGATACGTCTCCAGTCCATCACAGGGACATCTAGGGACAGTTTAGTCAGTCTAACATGCATGTATTTGGTCTGTGGGAGGAAACTGGTGTAGCCGGAGAAAACCCACGCAGCACGGAGAGAACATGCAGACTCCACCCAAAAAGATCCCCGGCCAGGATTTGAACCGGCAACCTTCTCACTGAAAGGCAACAACTCTACCAACTGAGCTGACATGCTGCTGAATGTAGTAGATATTTGGTAATTTTTTAATTCTTCTTAGGAAAAACTTTCATTTGACTGCATCATTTGGAACTCGGGTGTTCTGTCAGTGAGCTTAGGGTCAGACAGATCCTACCGGGGGCACAGTTGTCCACCAGGGCTCCTAGGGCCTTCCCGTCCCTCCAGTCCCGGTGGAAGTTGGTGATGGGCAGCTGGGGGACCTTGTTCTGAATCCAGCCTAGCAGACGCTGTTTGGGGGTCAGTTTCTTGGCGTCCTCATCGTCCTCGTCCTCCCACATGGGCATGGAGATGGAGTAGTGTAAGATCAGGGTCCAGATCAGACCCAGGATCAGCTTCAGGTTCCCGTCCACGATGGCCTTTGAGTCTGGAGGACAGAGACGAAAAATGAAACTTTGAATTTACAGTTTCTTGTTTTCATAATTAGTTTTAGACATAAAGTCCAACCAAAGACCATCAAAGAACAGTTGTTCTGGAGCTCTGGACCCATGGAGTCCTGGACCTAAAAAACCTGGTCCTGTTAAGAACCTGATGGGTAGAATGTGTTTCTGGAGGTTTACCTCAGCAGTTTGGATATATTCTGTGGTAGCTGAGGGTGATCTCAAACACCGAGTCTGAGAGCCAGCACCAACAATCCTTCAGGAAGTTCTTTCCTTGTCGTCTTGACACGGTTCTGTTAGTCCAACAGAAAAATGTACCGGTTCTACCTTTGGTCTTTGATGTGCCATCCACTTTTGGTCCATAAGGACAAAGCCTGCAGTCAGGAGGAGACGGCCTGAGGGAAAGCCCGAACCTTTGTAGAAAAGTCTTCTTTCTTCCAGCCTGGGTGACCTGTCCCTGTCCCTGTCCCCCACACACTCTGTCCCAAAGTGAATATTATTATATTTATATATACTCATATTTAATATTTAATCTGTGTCTATAATAACCAGATCCTGAAATGTAGACGTGACGTGTGGATTTTCTGAATAAAGAGCACTAACATGCACAATTAACTGATTTTGACTAATCTCATCCATGAACATATAAACACCAATATATCTTAACATGGGGGGTATTGAAAACATATATATATATATATGTGTGTGTGTGTGTGTGTGTGTGTGTGTATATATATTCAAATATATTAGTGTGTGTGAATGACAGGCATCAACTTAAAACACTGTAGAACGGTTCCTTATGAAGTTCAGTCCATTTCTTTGTAGTAGTTGACCAACAGATCTGCCACATTCAACATGGCGGACGCTGTGACGACCAGCCCGCTCAACGAGGCGTCTACAGCCTAATCCATCTGTTCTCTGATTGGTTCGTTAAATTTGTGATTGACATGACGTTGACCAATCAGCTGAGAGGAAGAAAATTCAAGTCAAAATTCGTAATCGTAAAATGAAACTCACAGGAAGAGATTCACACGTAGTTTTTGGATTCATATCTGTAAACAGAATCAGAAGGAGTTTTATTGTCATTGCACCAAAGTACAGCGAGATTATATTCCGTACAGTCGTCCGAAAGATGGGTGAAGTGCACGTGGCTGCAGCTCCAAGGAGCGCAGACCCTTTTTCCTTAGATAGAAAAGGGGAAAGACCATGGGGATGGTGGTATTAAAAAAAAGATCTCTTCACACGTTGTCCTTGTCAGGACACGATTGAAAACATGAAACTGTGCCAGCAGCACATTTATAGACACATTATGTATTTGATGACAAGATGGTGAGATATGACCATGAAGCACTTCCAGATAGACCATAGTCCTGAGAAGATGTTGATGTGTCAGCCGGTACAGCTCTGACAAACAGAACATCAGAAACAAGTTTAGTAACTTGTACCTTGTTCATTTACAAATACAAATCTTTTTTACACGTGCAAAATATTTATGACTGGAATTTGTGCCCATAGTCCACCAATGTATTTTTATCAGAAGCTGTGGTTTTAATGTTGACTCTACTTTTATGAGAATGTTTTACTGAGTCTTTGAACCTTCACCTTGATCTGATGGTTTGGACTTTTAACATGAAACAACAGGAACAAACTCTCAGGGACTGTCAGGATGTGCAGCAAAACTGCTGGCACAGCCCCACAGAACCTCACTGACCTACAGAACCTCACTGACCTACAGAACCTCACTGACCTACAGAACCTCACTGACCTACAGAACCTCACTGACCTACAGAACCTCACTAACCTACTGAACCTCTCTGACCTACAGAACCTCACTGACCTACAGAACTTTACTGACCTAAAGAACCTCACTGACCTACAGAACCTCTCTGACCTACAGAACTTTACTGACCTAAAGAACCTCACTGACCTACAG